GATTTCTTATATGTGTAGAGGGATATTATATATATATTATAACTGTAAGAAACGAAGAAAAACATGGCGTTTAGGCCCTTCGTATACTTTTTTTTTTTTTTTTTTCTTCTTCTTCTTCTTTTTTTTAAGGGGGAAAAAATGTACTTGGCCTCTTAGAGGTATAGGGAATAAGATAAGGAGCAACAGAGATTTTTGAGTTTATTGTACCTTGATTGATTCTTATTTAGAGAATTGGAAAAAAAGAAAGAAGGATAAATGGAAATAAATTTTTCCATCTCGGTTCAATTTGGAATTGTAATGATATTTACCGTATAAATAGGTAGCATTTGAAACTTTTATTATTTTATCTTTATTTTTTTTTCTTTTATATTTTTTTTTATTTTTTTAGGAATGCTTTTTCTCAGGAATTTTTCGACTTTGCTGTTTAGGACGATAAAAAAAAAATAATCGCGACTTTTTTCTAAATATTTCGAATAATTATATTGCAGATACAGATCTTTTTTAATGAATTCTGCCGGGAATTTTATTTATTTTTTTTCCCTTTGCTTCTTAATTTTTTTAAAAAAAAACATAAGAAAAAAAATCGAAATTTCTATAAAATATCCTGGTTGAATATCAATTTTTTTTTTCGTAGAAATTAAAAATTAAAATAAATTAAATTTTTGAGAAATGTGATTAAAAAAAAAAGAAATGAAATATTAAATTTTTGTTTTTCTTAATATTAAATACGCTTAATAATCTGATTTATTTGTTATTTTCCCAAAGAACATTCTTTTAAAAATAATAAATTATTCTTCGTCTTTTCAAATATAAAACTTGTTAAATTAGTTTCAATCATATTTTAAATAAAACTGAGATTATGTAAATTTATTTTATTTTTAAATAATATAAATACAATCGAACCTCTAAACACGACCGTCGTTCGGAGGTTGTCGTTATTAGGAGGTTATTTTGTATGCATTAAAAATAAATGGCCGCCGTTTACAGGTGGTCGTTATTAGAGGTTCGACTGTATATTAAAAAATAAAGAAAAAGATTATTTTATTATGACAGTGAACAACTTAAGAACACAAGTTGATTGCTGACAGTTTGTATTGAAGTCGAGTGTTCCTTCAAGATGGATAAAGAGAAGGAAGAAGAAGAAGAAAAAAAAATAAACAGATAGGAACTGTCAATTGCTTAATTTTTAATTTTGTTAACTTCTTTAATTTTAAATTTGGGGAATAAACAAGAACAAATATTTATTAATTTAAATTTCAAAGCTTTAACGATTACCCGACAAACAAATGTAAAAAATTAATTTTCAAACTAACCTCTTTACATTTTCTTAAAATGATAATAATTTAAAAAAAAGAGAGTGAGATGTAATTTATAAAAATGAAAACTTGTTAAAAATCCAAATTAAAAAGAGAAAAAAAAAACTTAAATTAAATTTTCCGAAGGCTAAAATAGGATTAATTGATAAGATGAGACCAACTCCGACTGCATCATCAAATTTTTAATCAACAACCCAATGCTTTTGTCGTGATTTCTTATATGTGTAGAGGGATATTATATATATATTATAACTGTAAGAAACGAAGAAAAACATGGCGTTTAGGCCCTTCGTATACTTTTTTTTTTTTTCTTAAATATATGCGTGACTAGATACATTGGACTCATCATTCATAAAGACTTTGCAACGATGCTACAGAAAATGCACGTACAAAAATCCACCTGCACAATATTAAACTCTATCGATTTCTCTAATTAATTTTATTCTAGTTATTTATATATTAAACAGAAGAGTTTACTTTTAATCTGGTGTTTATTTAATTTTAACTAGGATTTTACAAAATTAATTATTTAAAATAAAAATCTATAGAGGTGTATGATTAATCACATCACTCTTTGATACAACCTTCTTATTAATTTAAAAATTTTTAAATTAAATTTTTAAAAAATAGATAACCTATTAATTTATTATTATTATTTTTTTTTCATCACTTTTATTAATATCAGTATATTGTATAGGTAAAAATGTTATATTTATATAAATTGTAGCTGAGATTTACACATATATATAAGGATCAAATGTCAGAACGGTTGTTGCAGATTGGACTGATACCAACGGCAGTATTTTGATAAATTTGATGGATGTCAAGATTAATGTTAACCTGTTGATATAAAAGGTTAACCTCATTCGAGTATAGAGAAAACATAATTTTTGATAAAATATTCACATTGCCGTAATTGAATCATCCAAAAAAGATTTCTTTTTGCAAGGTTAAAACAGAGAAATAGTTTACATTTTAAATAAATAATATAACATTCTTCAGCCTGCGGCAATTGATTTTTTTTTCTTTCTTAAAAGAATGCCGGAATTTCAAGAGGACAATAAAATTGGCAATAAAATATTTTAAAGTTTTGTCTGGTTATCAAAATGTACTACTCATAAATCAGCAGATGCCGATCGATTCCCTGAGCGGATCTTTAATAAATCCTTTACTATTTTAACAATGATAAATTGATAAGTAATAAATTTAACATTATAATAATTATGAAATTTTTTATTAGTAGCGAGAAAATAATATTTTTGAAAATTTGCCAAATGTAAATTTCGCTGTTTCAGAATATTCTTTTAATTAGAAGACGAAGCCGAAGATGAAGGAAATGGTAACGGTTACTACTAAACTTAGTCAATATACGTTATCCTTGATTGCAGTAGAAGCTCGGGATGTAACAATATTTCTGTAATATAAATTTTCGTTTGTAGAGAAATGAATAATTAAAATTTCTGTAATTATTTTTCAGTCTTAATAATCAAGCGACCAATAAAACACGAACAAGCAATTAACTAAGTAAGGCGCTCGAGCATCCCCAGCAATTGCATCCACTGCTGATAACAATGTTATGATATTAAACATTAACTATTATATGTGCAGTTTGGTTTATCTTGTTAAATGAAGCCCACTATCATTAATTACTGGCGCAATTTCCTCCATTGCGAATACTGCACATGTTATGAATGTTCATTTATAAACAGGAATCTATTATGCACCATCTGATCGTTATAGTTTGGCTATCTGTTATTTGTAATTTAATAGAAAGCCGCTAAATTCATTCATACACGAATAACGCAGTTAGATTTCCAGTGAATAATTTGTGCAGTGAAGGATTGCGCTCACTCGAACGGGAATTCACTCATTCCGGAAAGTTTAATGTGCCACGTCATGGATGAAATTCGGAAATATAACAATTGATGAAAAATTCTTTAAAATAAATTTCCCGTTTTCTCCGCAGGAAGAACGTTATAAAAGGGAAATCTAAAAGATTAATTCTAAAAAAAACATACTTAAAGATAGCGTGAGGATAAGCATTCTTTACTTTCTCGACTCGCTATTAAAAAAAAGAGCCGATTGTCTAATTATCATTGTGTCGAAAAGTAGTGACTCTTCTTTTTGTAAGATGGCCTCTTATCAGTCGGACGGATGCATAGAAGCCGACGGCTGGCAGACAGCACAGCGAACAAGAACAGCCATGTAATAGAGTTAGCGTGGGTCATGGCGCGATATTCTAGTATTCGGCAGAAGCGGGGAATTGGCTGCTATCAACTGACGCAAAACGGTAACTCGGGCCACTCAACCATCCAAGCGGCCAACCCTGCAGGAGGCGAATTTCCATAAGCAGCACACCGCTGCAACTTTTCTAACAAGTTTTGATATCTTTCAATTCTTGGTAGCTAGGTGGACGGATGCTGCCACCGCCTTTCGAAAGGGAAATACGGTGTATAAAAAAAGAGAATCGTTTACAAAACTGGCGAATTCTTGTATATTTTTAGAATATTTTCGAAAAATACCCATACGCAAAGGTCAACGCGCTTTCGCTCGTTATACGGTCTATTGTAGACTTTGGACGTCTCCCGTTCGTTTGTTTAGTGCACGTTCTTTATTAATAGAAACGGCGATTCGAAAATTATAACTGGAAATTCTGTCTCGAGCGCTGGATTATTATTACAAACGACTTTGCACCGGTTTGTTAATTTGTAACTGTTAACACATTCAATTTTCTTATCGATGACACGTGTCGTCGCCGTGACGTCATCAATCTGACCTCCCGGAGAGTCTCCGCAGAGTTGCTATAATTCGGTCAAAATGTTATTACTTTTAAATTCGGCGAAGAAACAAACAATACTAATTTGAAAGAGATACAGCATTACACAATCTGCATTATATAACTCTCAGACTTTGCGTAATTAATTTTAATGTAATTTATCATTCGATTTACTGGATACGAAATTATTTTTCGCTTGGTTTTCTCTTACAAACCGAGAAGAATTCCACGAATCTTTACACATTCTGTACATGAATACGATTAAAAAAGTGTAAAGATAAATATCCGAGAAGCATTTTAGAAATGTAAATGATATTTTCCGGGCAATAAAGAACTTTTAAATGTTAGCTCGCGGCAAAAGGTGGAGGAGATCCTATTTAGCATTGTGTACTATACATTTTGTTTGTATTTTATTTTTATTCACGTTCGGATCCTCAGTCTTTTACATATGAAAAGCGAAGACTGCAGCTCTCTTCTCTAGAGGCAAGTAATAGGTAGATTAATGAAAAGAATTAAATTGCGTGTATCCTAATGCTTCTAAATTTGTTTTACGACTCGATCTACCGATACTAATTTCATCCGAAAGCTTTTATCTCAAAGTCTCCAACTCGAGAATTCTTACAACTATTTGGAATTCCACCCGTTCACTCGGCTATAAATTGCCGCCATAAAGAAAACCTATTTTCTATTAACGCCCCTTCTTAAAATTTCTTTTTCCCGTGCAAATTAATGCCAACGGATAAACAAAGCCGAGCCACAGTCACTAATGACTGTTTACAAACGTAAATGGAGCATCTTGGTCGCTACCAATCAACTAAAGGTCCACCATACAATTATGGAAAGATTAGAATGGAAAATTGCCCATTATTCATCATTGTTTGTTATAAAAGTTCAGATGTAATAATGATGTGACGAGAGAATCGCCAGATAGCGAGTGTAAGGGTACGACTCTATAGCCTACATGTCTAAAATCACGTGTTCTAAAGTCAACCCGGCCACCAAGTATAACGTGTTATCTTGCCCGGCCAAGTTGCACTACGGCAGTCGGACCGAAACGGCAATGGCGACTGCTTTTCTACAGGAAAGTTTAAGTGTGAGTATAGACATTCCTAGTCACATACCGTGGCAGAGTTTGTCTGCCGATTTGGCCAGTAGACTGAAGCAGAGGTCTCTGAGAATCTCCAGAAGTACCAGGTTAGATTATAAACCCACCCCAATCAGGGAAGAAGGAGAAAAGTTGCCCTTAATCAACGGACGTCATGGAGAGAAAATCGAAAACGAGGAAGAGGCCCAGCCTATAGGTAATCTTGCTTTTTATTTAATCGCGTGGCCAATTTTTGCCACTTCTATCGTTTCTATGTAAAGTGTGAGTGGGTGGATGTAGCGATAAAATCGTTTTTTTTTTTTTTCAATTCAAAGTCTGCAGCAAATTTTATGTAAAACTTTAAAGTTAACAGGTAGTTTTATCCTTAGTTGTCTAGAGATATAAACTTTACAGGAGGAATTTGTAGTTTTATTAGAGAATAAACCTCCTGAGGCACCGAAATATCGATCACGGTGATGTATTGTGTCGGCTAATTTACAATTCAGATGTTAGATCTCAATAAAGTTGACGTGTTCTACACTTTATTAAAAATGTGTATAACATAAGAGAACGGTCAAAAATAACATTTTCTTTTTGATAAAGTCGGTTCTTTATTGTCCTATATCGAAACAAGAACATCTGCTAGATATCCCACTTTGATTAATGGCCTTATTTTGAGTCTTGGGTGAACATTTGACGTAATATGTCTCATTTTCAATCGACTGCAATTACAAGAAATGGAAAACAAACGTCTCTTCGGTTGGGAGAGGTTCTTCGCATCTAGGTCAGTTCACCCAAGTCTGGACCAAACTGGTCTTTCCAATTACATAAAACAAACAGGATGAGATATTTGAGCATCTCTTCCTCGACGTCATCCCGTCTTAAACTTTAAAAAAGAAAAAAGAAAGCCGAATATTGAAGGTTTAACTCGATAAAATGAGTTTGAAAGGTGATCCGCTCTGACAGATGAGTTGGATGTCGGATGTCGTCGCCACCTCTTCTCAGGACATTTTGGCGCTAGTCTGTCTGCACTCGATTGTTGCAGTTAGTTGGACTTGACCTATGACTAGAGAGCTTGTTGCTTCCGTCTGATTTTACTTGTTGCCTAGTTTAAAACTTCGATTTCATTCTCTACATATTTTATAATGGCGATAAAATATTCCGGTTCGTTTCGAGTTATAAACATTTAAAATAATAAAAAAAAAGGTAGCATTAAAGTGGCGCCGTAATTAAATTTGAGTAGATTTTATGCCGATCGATGCACATAATTTAAATACATTATTAATGAAAAATATTTAGTTAGATTTACTCATTCATTAGCAATTCCGCATCCTCTTTTCAATTCTCCGATGGTAAGACCTAATTGATAAAGTCTCGTGCCGACCATTATCATCCAAGATATTCAGATGTGTATCAATTATCTACATCCTCCGTACAGACCCTTGAAAATTCCGAGATAATTTCATAACTTCTAAAAGTCGAGTGGCTAAATTTTTTTCTTTTAAAGGAAAATTAATTATGTTTTTATTTGTTTAAGAAAAAAAAACGCGGCCTGTTAAAGAGAAAGTAATTACTATCTCTCAATAAAATATATTTAAAATGACTTGGGTGACCGGGATGATAATGGAATTTATTCTCTGATCGATTGATTGTTATATGATAAGCCAACAAAAATCCAATTCCGCTTCTTTATTATTATCATTTTTTATATTTTTATTCGACTTTTCCGAAAAAGTTTTCCCAGCAGCAATTACATTACCACATCTTACAAGGATTATGAACAACTTTCTTAGATTCGGACGTGCGCTGAATGCATTTACATGAGTAATATCGAATGAATGAAAGTTCTTTTATGTAGGTTAGAATAAAGTGGAACAAAGCCCCGAAGCTAAACTATGTGCTCCTAATTTCTGTATCATTTAACCACCATTGATCATTTTTTAAACGCGATATTAATATTTCTACACTACTTAAACGGATAATTTTTCGTTAAGCCAGCAATTTTCTTCTTGTCTTATATTTTAAAATAATTGAAATATTTTTTAAAGATCTGTCAGTTGAATTACAAATATATTTTTTTCTGTTTTTACTAAATGTTAAAAAGAATTTTTGACTTATTTAAAAGAATAATTCAAAAAAAAGAGGTCATTCAAACGTCTTGCCAAATTGGTCTGGTGTAGATTTATGGCCCACGAAAGAATTAATTTGATCTTTTTTTTTTAATGCGAGTATCGCACCTGTTATTCTAATCGCCACTAAGTTTTAAAAGTATGTTATTTAGAATGAATGAAGTAAAGAAAATAAATAAATTTTACTTTAGATTGATTCCGTAGCTTAGAATAATTTATCGATGAGAAGAGGACGAACTTTACCATTGTTGTCTGTCCGTGTAGAGTTTGAAGATAAGGATATTTATCTTAAGATAATTGGCAGTTTGTTCTTCGGTTAATCGATACAATAGAAACAAGTGACGAGTTGTAAAACGCAAATATTTAAATAAACTAAATGCATGACATTCTTTGGAAAAATATCGATTTTAACTCACTTAAATGAAAAAAAAACTTTGCCGGATTTAATTACGAAGTTTCTTTATTCCAAATAGAAAATTTTCTGTCCCACTTTGTTTCGATTCCTATAAAAAAAAAAAAAATAAAAAAGAAAAATCGTTTCTACGTCCGAACATCGGGTATTAAAATATGTATAATTTTTTGTTTTGTATACTTGTCACGAGCCGTCTATCGCGATAAAGAACGGCGAGGAAAAAAAATAAATAATAATAATAATAATAATAATATTAACATGGGCAATACGGAAAATGACGACCTTCTCCATGGTTTAGAAATGTCGGAATTTTGGTAAGATGCCAAAAGACGGGCGAAACAATGTGCATATCGAACCGAAAACTTTTATAGTGTGCATACTTCTCATCCAAAATGTATTTTTGTTTTCAGGAGTCCACTGGACCGTCATTTCCTTCCTATTGCTGAACAGTGCCTTGGGTTGTGGTATTCTCAATTTTCCTAACGCCTTCAACAGAGCGGGTGGTGTGTATGTGGCATTCGTTCTACAACTGGTGAGTATTATGTAGGTTGATTTTTAATAAATGAATAAGTGTGTGTCACACTTATTCATTTATTAAAAATCAGGTTTGCAACACGCATTGACTCGGATTTTCGGCCCCAAAAAAAAAAAACGTTAATCGGAATCAATCGAATAGAGAAACTAATACAAAAATCTGTGTCTAGACAACGCGCTTTCACTCTATTTTGTTGTTGTTTCATCTTCTGAGCCGTTTCTTTTTTAAAAAAAACAAAAAAGTTGTCGTTCATAAATTAAAAATTTTTCTCGCTAGATTTAATTATGCATGGCAAAGGAATTAAACTCGATTAAAAAAGTTTGAACATAATTATTAGTTATTTCTTAAAATTAAAACTGTTTGAGCAGAAAAGTTAAATTCTGTAAATGTTAACGTTAATCTCTTTGTACTCTTATTTTAATCGGATTATTTTCTTAACATTTACTTGATAATTTTCATGCGATTAATTTGGATTCCTTTATCTACGACTTTTAGAAGTTTCTCTAATTTATTACCGATGTCTTAGAAAATTTTCTATAATTTATTGATCTATTTATCTTAAACAAAGTGCCAAACCATCCGAAGCAGAAAGCATCAATATTCTAGTCTCTCACGTGTACTTATTCCACATCCTTTGCTATTAATGGATCCACTAAGATCCAACATTTGCTTCTTTTTAGGGATAATTCTTGCAAAATTTTCTTGTATTGCCACCTTGGTTTCTATAGGGAATTTCATTCAATTTCACCAACAAAAATTATGACTCTCTCGTGTATAGTTTATATCTGATATCCTATAAGCTTGTATTCTTCCCACAATTTCATTTGTTAAATAGATAAAATATAGTTTTAAGCCTTTAAAACATTTCCCTTTTATTTTTCTAATAGTTAACAAAATGATTTTTTCCTATTGCCTGAATGAGCACTCGATTTGATGATTTCTTGGACAGTAGTAAAGTAGATGTAATTGCAATTTTCTCAGTAAATAAAGATCCTAACCGATAGCAACTGTAACAATAACCAAAATTAACATCGATTTTAGTATTTACATGCAACTGACACTAGCCTGTTTATCAGCAAATGACTGTAAAATTCAGAAATAAACTGGCGAAATAACAAACTTTTCAGGAATGATAAATGTGCTAATCTCAGTTAATGAATTGTCACTTTTTTCTTTTTGGTAATTAATTTTTAGCAGAAAAATTAGTCCCTTGTATCCATCTCGTATCCTCTTGGAATATCCAAAGTATCTTAGAGATATGCATTATTCATCAGTTAAGGTGAAATGATAAACACACAATTTTTCAAGTCGACTTTTTTTTTTGGTTCAGAAGTATGAATTACGACTTTGTCTCCTATAATTTTACCAATGACCAACATTATCTGGTTTCTCCTGGTACCCAATACGTTTCTGCTCTATGTTTACAATATTTTTCACTCGGAAATAGCAGCAGTTTCGCATTACTCTATGATCATTCAAATATCCTACAAAATATTCCTACAGCAAATCGTGAAATAGAATTCGTATCAAACGGAAGCAGACAGGCGCCAGATGATGACCATTTCTGCCATCTTTTTTCCTAATAATCCAGAGAACTAATCTAAATTAAAGTTACCAAAACTTCGGTGATGATATAATGAGTGGGTTCACCTCTCTGTTTGCCTTTTTTTTTTTTTTTACGAGTTCTTAATTAATTATAGTGCGGAACCAGAAAGTGCACTCGGGTAAAAGCGGTTCTTGTTTATGAACGTTCTTTTAGAGTCCGATCGATTAATTGGCTACATATCTCATTCCAAATTAACGTAATAAGTGAAAAACAAACGTCGACTCGTTAGGAAAAAGAAAAAAAAAAAAAATTGCTGAATCCGTGACATCTTGTGACCCATTTGCCGTGACAGTATCTATATACCACGTGCCCTTTCGTATCAAAATACAAGATAAATAACCTTCATCGTTTACGTAAAAAATTGCGAAATTGTGTTTTCTGTTTAAAGCTTACATTTTCTGATGTAAACATTTTCTTCCTTAGAAAAATAAAATAAAAAAAAAAAAGAAGAAATAAAATGGTAGAGTTTACAATTGAGAGCGAATCGAATTTATCGTGTTTTTCAGATTATTTCGTGCTATTTTGGATCGGACAAATTTCGTGAATTTCGAATTCTCGAGTGTTTTCGGCCGTGATGCTTCCAACAAAGAAACTTTATCTTTGGAAAAGCGAGTCGCTCGATCGGAAATTAAATTGGAAAGAAAAGACTTTAGTCTGGAAGTGGTAGAATTTCCTTTCTGTAGGGGTTCCGCTCAAATTTTACTGACGAGAGGAAGATATACAGTATGTAAATGTCCACCCTCTTTCCTTCTAGACAATCGATTGATTCTACTGCCGAATCTACACAATTACTAATGTTATAAATTTGATGATCACGTAAAGAGAGGAAAGAAGAAGAAGAAGAAAAAAAAAAAGGAACTAGAATTCCAAATTCTCATTAAAATATATTTTAACTCCTCGAATTAGATTTGTTTTCATTTTCGGCACCAACTAGATCGGACAGAAATTAAAAAGAGCGTGGTGCAGATAATAAAAATCTATTTCCTATTTAAAAATTTCGATTTTATTAGCTTAAAAAAAAAAAAAGCCTGTAATAAATCTTTTTTTATTTTTATTTTTCAGATAATGCTATGTTTAATGATTAGCACGATGGTGGTCTTAGCCTATTGCGCCGATATCAAAGGAGATAATACTTACCACGACGTGCTATTATCCATGTGTGGCAGAAGAGCTCAGCAATGTGCGGCCATCTCTATTCTCTGTTCATGTTTTGGAGTCTGTATAGCCTTCCTTGTCATCATAGGAGACCAATATGATAGATGTGAGTACTCTAAATGATTGAATTCTGCAAATTTCAAGGCATTTAATAAATTGCTTAAAACGGAATAAAACAATTGTACTTTTTCTTTTTCTTTTTTTAATACTTTGTAACTGTAAAATGATTCGGGATTAAGAAGCTTAAATGAATTTGTAACATTTTTTTTTTTTTTTTTTTTTTAACCGGTTGAAAAAAATTGCGCCTGGCTATTACGGAGTAACAAATAACATTGTCTTATCTTTAATTAAAATTTCTTTTTCGAGACAATTAACGACGTTAAAAAAGTAATAATTTCATATCCTTTTTCCAAATAAATAATTCTAGAAGTGAATAAAATTGCGTGTTTATCGATTGAAGAAGAAGATAATCGAAAGGTTTCGCTGAATGGAGTTTTTGTTGTAGCTATTGTTACTATAACAGTAGTAATTTTTTTTTTTTTTTTTTTTTAATATTTATCTTTTATCGATTTTCTTTTTTCAGTGTTAGCGTCGTTGATGGGGCAGGAATTCTGCGAACATTGGTTTTACGATCGTAAATTTACCATCGCCATAACAACGGCCATATGTATTCTGCCAATGTGCTACTTCCAGAGGCTGGACTTCCTCCGTTACGCTAGGTCAGATTTTTAACACTAGATGGCGGCACGTAACGAAGAGGATGAATTTATTAATTTCCAGTTTACTTGCAGCGCTTTGGGTATCTTCGCTATGCTCTATCCCGTTTTCTTGACAGTTTACGAATATTTTATGCTAGACATTCCAAAACCCGAATTGAAAACCACGTAAGTGTGGAAAGAGGGAAAGAAAAAAAAAAGGGCCGAAAATATATCCTATTTATATAAATTTATGTACAATTTTTACAGGCCCGATAGTATTGTGGACGTTTTCGTGGCCATTCCAGTTATCTGCATCCCTTATCAAGTAAGCCCAACCTTTGCACGGCCTGTTGATTTTTTGTCCGTTAACGAAAGAAAATTACAGCTAATCGCTCTGGACTGATACAGAAGCAGATAATGTATCGCCCACTTCTATAAAAACTGCTGATTTTTTCCACACTTCCATTCTACTGCGAATAATCGAAAACTTGGATTGAGTGCATTCCATGATTGATGACGAGAAGCGCTAGAGCGGCGCCGTGCCACTCTTTTACGCCTCCGGGCGCCATCTATTATTCAAATTAAGGATTAAAATCATTTTTATTTGAAAATTTTTAAATTAGTATTTTTATTATTTTTAAAAAAATGAAAACAATTTTAATTTAACGAAATTTGACAGAGTGTGATTTTTAATTAAACTTTTTTTTTTAAATTTCGATATAATGCGATAAGCTATAATAAAGAAATGCTTACGAAGATAGGAGTTTTAATACAGTCAAACCTCGATACAGCGCCCTCCTACAGAAGTCACAAACGGTTCTTACTCTTAAATATTATCGAGGTTACGGCCGAAGTTTTTATCTCTAAAACGCGAACGTCGAACGTCGAGCGTCGCTTACAAGATAGCGACGCTCGACGTTCGACGTTCGCGTTTTAGAGATAAAAACTTCGGCCGNGATTTATATTTTTGGTTTCTTTTTTTTTTTATATATATATTCGTCTTTTAACTTCTCACATTAAATTTCTCTCTTCAACTTTATGTTGATTCACCTTAACATTACAGCTACCAAATTTGACTTGGTCATAAAATGAGTTCGTGACGTCAAGTAAATGAGTTTCTGCTCTCATCTCGGAGCAACTCATCAAAGACAGAGCAGGAGCAGTAATGTGATTATAGTTTCCTCAAATGATTATGATTTGCAAGAGTAGCAGTTAGTTTATCAAATTTTATCTTTGAATATTTACAAGTTAAAGAATGACATCAAAACTAGAAAAATATATATATATATATTTTTTTTTTAAAATAAACAACAATAAAATTCTCTTCGTTGATTGAGACTATTTTAAACACTCGTTTTTTTCCCTATTTTATAAAGACAAAGATTGAAGTTAATTCGCACGCCTAAGTTTCGCTGTTAAAGTTGTAGACGATGTATTTAAATATTCAGCATTTTTATATAATCTTTCGATTCGTTTTGGGAATTAATTACATTAAACATGGCAAGAGAAAGTCGTAAGTTCAAAAGTTCAGAAACTACTTGGTTAATTAAACAGGCTACAGCTTTTCTCCTCGAACTTGTTGGCTTATAATAGAATCAGAAAGTAGTTTAAAAGCAGAGATTTTTAATAGATAAAACGATTTTTAAAACAATGTTAACAAATTCTATACTCCATTTATTTATAATAAAACTTACTTTTTCGGTGATAGAAAAGGTCGAAGAATGAATTAAAATGATTGCTCTCTTCTGGAATCAATTTTTCAACAAAAACCGTTCCTAGCTATGATTTTGTTTGAAAAATTGACAGAAGCGCTCATCTGACAATGGCTTGTGATATCTACCAAACTGATATAAGGCCCTACTTGGAAACAGTTTTAGAAAAAAAAAACTACGGTAAAGTGAATCACAAATTCCTTTTTAGATAAATCAACTTAATATTAACAAAGAGAAGCGACAATTTTCAACTCGAATCAATCATTATCAAGTATCGAATGTTGCACTCTAGTGTCAAATTGGTCAAATAACAAGGGTGTTTATGTGATCCCAGATTTTCTGGATCTAAGTAAGGATTTTCCAGAACATTTCTCTCAGATTTGGCAACTTTACAATTTCTTGACAGAATAACTAACTCCGACCACGTAGTTTTCTCTGATAAGATTTTTAAGATAGTTTATTTTGATTCCACGATCCTTACATCTGCTAGATTATATCTTTTTAGGATAGAACGGCGATAAAAAAAAATATATTTANAACCTCTCTATTAAACAGAGAATTAATAAATGTACGAATTTGGTCATTTTTATCCCCCCCCGAAACCACCTGACTTTCGAACTGTCAAACTTACGATCTCATCGCTTTGCACTATTCTTGTTAAAGTGGTTGGGTTTAGTGGCACATTGAATATAATGGAAATTTAGGAGGCGCTATATCGAGATTTGCTATACTTTCCGATGGCTTTTAAGAGTCACGATTGCTAATGTATATTCATTTCAGACTCACGAAGTGGTGATACCCGTGTACTCGTGTATGAGGGAGAGAAAACTGAAAAACTTTATCAAAGCAACGCTGTTGGCCATGACCATTCTGCTCTTCTTGTACACCATCACCGGAACGTTCGGTTACATCACTTTCGGCTCGAAAATCCTACCCGACGTCATGGTTCTGTACGATGCCAGCGACCCAGTAGTACTAATTGGTATAGGAGCCCTGATTGTTAAAATGATAACGACCTATCCACCTCTGGTACTTTGCGGAAGGTAATGGCGCCTTTCCTCTAATGACACGTTGAAACTTTGGTAAATATTTTATGCGGCAAACAAAATAAAAACGTTAAATCAAAGTACCGACACCGTTTAACTGATTTTAAATAAATTAAATAAGATTTAAAAGAAAATGCTTAATTACTTAATTAAAAAAAAAAAAATCAAACGAAAACTTTCAACGCAAGTAATACAATCTCCCTTCTCTAATTAAACTCATTCACCATCAATTTTTAATTTATCTTAAGATTATTCTTAGTTAAAACTATAATTTTTCTCTATTAACATATATTAATTATTATTAAAATTGTTTAATTCATTGATCGAGTTTTAAGGTAATTATATATAATCGCAATTACTCTTCCTGTCATCTGTTAATTATTTAAAGCATTAATTTCGATGTCATTTTTGGTTTGATGAATGTAGGGGTGCTCTAGATGGTCTGTATGCAGAATTTGCTAAGCTGACAGTCAACGACTTTCTGAAAGGAGAGAAGAAAAGAAGAATTATCATTACTTCGGGTTGGGTAGCAGTAACCCTGTTCCTTGCCCTATACACACCGAGTATAGGGGTAGTCTTGGAAATGCTTGGGTGTGTGGCAGTTATAAATATATTCGTCTTTCCAGGTAAGAATGAGAAACATTGGCTCGAGTAGTCTATCCTCTCTTTCTTTTTCTAGTTTTTTGGAATAGGTCCACCAGGAATAAACCTATCTATCAGGGTTCTTAGAAAGGTTTCTCGAGATTGAAAGAGTGTTAAAAAAATAAAATAGAAGATAACATTTCTGATTGCTGCGATTTCTACTCATGCATGTCGTGTTCTGCCATTTAGAAACGATTGAATGCAGTTAATACGTCTCAAGAATAAATAAGAATGTAAGGTTAAAGCATTTTGAAAAATGATCTACTGCATCTATCTGTCATTCCAGATTCGGGAAATCCAGTAAATTCACCGGAAAAATATTTATCATCGTTGGAAATACGATAAGATTTTTTTCCCCCTGTCGAAAATTAATATAAATATTTTCTATCGACATCCAAGTCCAATAAGAAAGTAATTAATGACTATTTTCAGAAATTAAGAAGGAAAAAAAAAGAAAGGTAAACCTAATCATCGATAGTTTGGCGAATTAAGTTTTCAGAAATTTAATATTTTTGTCGGTCAGACAGACAGACAATTCTAAACAGATGCTGCCCTAGAAACAAATCGCCACGTTCTGAATGAATGTTTTTTCTATTTAAATTTGACTAAGAATTTCTTTTATTGTCGAGCCTTTAAAACGGAAATTTAATATGGTCTTATTAAGAATTCGGACATTTATGGCCACTTTGGGATGGTGTAAAATGCAGAATCTTAGTGTCTACGGCGAAGATGAATCGGAAGAAACGTCTATTGGTAAATAGGATAATGAATTGGTAGTGGGAAGTGAAGGATAAAAAGTTCTTTTCCTCCTCTTCACTCGGAAATATCGATTGCTACGTTAAAAGAAACTGTACGAGAAGAGAAAGGAAAGTTCTGCGTAAAATAATAGAAGTGAGTGATTGCTGCAACCAAATAAAAGAAAAATTTACATATAAACCAAAAGAAGTTGGAGAGGCTCTTTGCGTAAAACTAGATGAAGATGAAAACCAGTTACCTATAATGTCGAATGAGAACGAAAGAAAAGAAAATTGAATAAAACGCAAATTAGAAAGAAAGATTGTTGCAACTTTTTCCGTCTACTTTCGTTTCCTATAAGAAACGGAAAAATTGATTCTTTAAAAATAATGAGATGGAAAAAAGACAGTAGGAATTGAAAAGTAAATAAAATGTAAAACGTTGAAAAATTAAAAGATGGAAAAATTCTTTAATTTTTCAACATTCGACGTCTTATCTTTGGAAAAAAAAGAAAGGAGGAGTTGCATTGACCATCCAAGAAATTAGAGGCAAATGGAGAGTAAAGAAAAGTTTCGCAGACGAAATCTGTGCTAAACCCACTAAAGAATAGATGTGTGAAAAGTATGAATAGCATAAAATATCTAGCTTTAGAAGGAAAAAGCTATCTGAAAGGCTAACTCGTAAATGGAGTGAAATGAGAGAGTAATATGTGCAAAGGGCAGTAAGAAACTATACTTTGCTCTGTCATCATTCCTATCCGATTTTCCGGGCCATTTTATCTAAAGAAAGAAATCGTCTTGCGGGATTGTCGTGAGTGTCCGTCCATCAGTCTACTTATCGATTTGAATAAAAAGAAAATAGCCAAACATAGAAAAATTATAGGTAATGCTTAACTTATCCCTACATTTTGATACAAGACGGAAAAAAAAAAGGAAATTATAGACATCTTTTATCCGAGTGTAGCTTTATAAGAAGGCAAAAATCCAGTTTTTCACTTACTTTCAGTTTCTTGCCTTTGGCAAGCTACACGAGTCTTTGTTTAAGAGGACGATCTCGGGGTGGAGCTACAAAAATTACAGTTTTCACAGAATACAGCTGGATTTTTTAATAGGAAAACTGAATAACTTATTCGCTAAAACTATTAACATCGATCACAGAATTTAAAAAAAAAAAAGTTATACCGTCATTTATTTAAATTTTAAAAAAGTTATACAAGCGTACCTCGTGAAAATGTAAAGTTAATATATATTTAGTTTTACCTAAGAAAAATTATGATTAAATCTATTTTTATAAAGGTTGTTAGAGTAAGCTATTTATTTAAGTACATCATTTATATGGAAAGTATCAAATTAATTACAGTAATTTTCTTTCTTTTTTTTTTTCTCCTAGGTATTTGCTTGTTGCAAGTGATTTTGAAGCATAATCAGCAGCTGCGGGGATGGAAAAGGAAATGTTTGATGGCTTTATCCTGTACAATGTTGTTATTCGGAGCTTACATATTCGGTGTAGTTTTTACTCAAGTGGTGGTCTTCGATATTCCCAGAGGAGGAGGTGGAGGAAAGCACAATTTCTGCTAAGAAATGACTCCGCCCAATACAATAGGAGTTCCTAATATATGTGCGCGTTATTAACCGGTCTGTACATATACTAATGAATTATAGATTTTTCCTATAACACTGTAAACGTTCCGAGCGGGATATTATAATAAATTTATTTATATATATATATATTTTTTTTTAATTCTTTTTTTTTCCGTTTTCAATTTTCGCTAATGGCTTTTGGAAACAAACTAATTTGCGAAATTTTGAGTGAGATTTTCGAGATAAAGAGGTTAGCGTAGTTTTATCTTCTTTGCAATCGATTTGTTCTATAAAAGTAGAAATCCGAGGCTTGATATATAAAAAAATAAATAAATAAACTAGATATTTTTGAATGGAAATTCAACAAATTTATCTAAAAATGCAAAAAAAAAAACGTTTTGCAATTTGCATTTAAATTTCGGAATGACAATACTAAAGATGCAATATATACAGCCTTTTTTTTTTGTTTTTCTTTACGATAAAGTAAATTACTTTATCAAAATATTGAGATTTTTATTTTATTTTTCTCAAACCAAATTCGTATATTATAAGATACACAGAATATAAAACTCGATATTTGAAATTAAACTAGTTTTTCAAATAATAATAATAATAATAATGAAATATATTTTGTTATTTTATAAGAAAAAACAGTTTTGTTTGTAAAAATACGATCGTCTTTCATCCAAAAATTAAGGGTAAAAAGAAAAAAAAATAAATAAAATGAAATAAAATTGGATAAATTAGAAAAAAAAGAACAATAAAAACTGGACTATGAACAAAAGAGATAATTAACTTCAATTATCCGGATAACAAATATGTTTAAAAATAGAATCACAAGTCAAATAAAGATAAAATTTCTTGGAACAGTTAACGTTATTTACAATCAACACGACATAAAATTTTCATATGACAAACACAGATTTAACATCTTTTTCTTCTTTAACTTAACGCTTTCTATTAGTACCGATCCCAGTTGTTAATATTGTAATAGCTAATAGTGAATCTAAACAACAAATTCTTTACCCGATTAAATTAGTAAATAATTAACTTATATACGAATAAGAAAAATTCGAAATTATATAAAGATAAGGCCTATATAATAATGGCAGTGATATAATTCAAACACTGCAAATACAGACCATATTTCATGTATCCAATAACATAATATGTATATACAATAGTAATACATCTATAATTTGATTTTATATTTTTATAATATTATTATTATTATATATACATATATATATAGAGATTACATACCGTATATTATACATAAATAATTTCTAGTATGCCTACTATTTTTGCATAAGTTGGTATATTTATCTGTCTATACATAAACTTAAATATTGACAGTTTATTTTAAGTTATCGAATTCTTATCACCGTTATCGATTCATTGTTTGATAGGCTCTTTCACATGAAAGCTGTTGGAGAAAATATTTCAAACTTTGTATTATAATATATCTAGCAAATATTGGTCCGAATAAATAGGCATAAACTTTGTGCTTTTGTAAATTTTTCTGAAAAATTATATAGCAAATTTAATTTAATTTCCCACCCCTGTTTATCTATAAGAGGTTTCTGTCTTGTTAAATACTATAACGGTATTTGTTTGGATTACAAGAATGCAATGCGATAGGTAAACAGATTAAAGCTGTAGGCCTATTCGGATTGTTCGGAAAAAATCACAGCGGCTCAATGAAATTCATTAAGGCAAATTGTATTAGTGTGTCTTATCGTAAGATCCTTCGGCAGCGTATCCATGAACGTATCCTGAATCGCTTTGAACGTCTTCTCTTCCTTCGCGTCCCTTTCCTCGACCAGTTTCGTCAAATCTTTGTTTGTGAGTTCCCGTGAATTTTGTATGGTCGGTCAGTCTTCCCACTGCACCCCCTCTGGCCGAAGCCTGAATATTTAATGATTCTCATCAGTATCTACAAGCCGGGAATATATACATCTACCCTAAACTTACCGTGGTCCTACTGGTTCCGGGAAGGCCGCAGCTGGTCAATTTTTCTTTCATCTCGTCCAAAGACAATTTTTTATTTTTAGCCACCGTCTCCAGAAATTGGTTATATTCGTTCAGATTCAAAGCCTTCTTCGCCCTTCGGTAATAAATCACGCCAGTTAAATAGATTTACAGATAAAAATAAGGAGAATTAACAAATTCTTTTAGATTCATAGAATCGACTCACTTGGAAATCTGCTTGAAGTAAATTCCGGTGTCTGTAGTGGTGATAGTTTTGCCGTCGATAACTTTCGATTGTTTGAACCATTTGTCGCTGTTACTCAGAGTTATTGTCTCGCCGGTACTTTTTGCATCACCGAATTTGGCAAAATTCCGAAACTGCTCTTCGAAACTAACATCTTCGGTTGCCATTTTCAAACAAATCCTTAAAATACGTAAAGAACATCTGTCATTTTTTTAATTTTCTATATTAAAGTTATGATGTTTAACATTTATAGGATATATCCAGCGGTGGATTAAGATCTTCCGGGATCCTAGGCGGATTTGGGGACTTCTCAGCTTGCGACTTTCCTAAGGGGGCAAAGGAATATACTCCCACTATTATAATTATTGCTTAAAATTTTACTACCCCCTTGGTCCTTGCGTGGTGGTGGGGTCAGAAGACCCGATCCGGTGGAGGCAAATGACCCATTCTCACCCACATAGCTCCTCTACACAATTTTACATCATAAATTAATAAATTCTAATTGTAACTATAGGATTATTTATTAAAAAAAATAGTTAAAATTTCTTGCTTTTTCCAATTTCGGAGCCTGAACTTATGTGTCTGGTGTGCCTTGTGAGCAATCCTGCACTGGATATATCCCGTTAAAAATATTTAGCAATTTTTAATGTCGAAGAATAATAGCACATCGGCTTATGTAGAAGCTACAATTGATCAAGTTACGTTGGGGAAGAAAGGAAGAAAAAAAAAAAAAATTTTGGAGAGCAAACATTTATATAGAGAGGGATGGGAAACGTCGGATAAAGCCGAGTTATCCATCTCCTCCAATAAACGTTTGCACCGCAGTAACAATAGGAATATATTCCAGTGGCGAACAGCGGGATTCCGTATTTCCGCATTCCGATTCGGGAAATAGGTTAGGGTAATATGGAAAGCATAATAGCACTTAATTATAGAAACATAAGCTGTACGTGCAGATAGGCAGTTAAATATCCCGCTAATCAGCAAAGTGTTGTGAATAGAGCAAATTTCAGTTAAATGCTCTCCTCTCCGCTACACAATAGCTAATTATGAGCTATTTGTTATCTGAGATAATTAGATAACCCAACCCATTCGCCATTCGGATGACCTTTGACCCAATCGAACAAAAGCTATAACCTTCTCGTTTTCTAGCATCGTCATTAATAAACATACTTTTCTTTTTTATATTATTTTATAATTTTAAATTTTACTTAAATTTTAATTTGTTAAAATTTAAAAATTTAAATAACCGACCACCTTTTATAAATATGTTATTTAATGAAATTATCTCCTATTTTTTAATAGTATTTTTCGCTGACATAACTCGAAGCGGCAAGTTTAATTAGAACTCGGATTGTTTTATTTTTTTTACTTTGTAAAAATTAAAAAAAACAACTTTTCTTATGAAATTAAATTTGTTTCTTTATTAAAATTTTTAATTAAGCGAACGGGACGGAAAATCCCGAGTTAGAACAGCAACGTTTCCCGTGGCGCCATCTGATGATTAAATTTAGTAATTTTTTTTTTTTACATCTTTTTCATATCTTTACCATCTTTGAATTATTCTCTTTGATAAAGCAGGAAAAAAAATATTTTATGTCGACATTTAAATATTATGTACTGGACTAAAATTTTATTTAAAGATAATAAATTTAAAATTACTGGAAATTGAGGTCGGAGTAAGATAACCTTATTTCCTAAAAAAAAGGCTGAATATTTTAAATAAATTTAAATATTCTGACAGAAAAAAGTCCGAATAAATTTTAAAAAGATGAATTCAGACTGATATCTAGTCGACAATATTTTTAAAAGCATTAGAATCTTCCAATAATTTAAAATTTTGAAGTAAAAGCATCGAGTCTTTTGCCTAAGGCTAACTTATAAATATAGTAATGCAGGTTTTTTGATCAAAGAATTCGACGTGATGTTATTAAAATGGATAGTTAAGCTGTAAACTTTAACCTTTACGAACAACCCGGAAAAATCGATATCAAACGCAGTTATTTTTATTAAAAGTTATCATAGCAAACAGCTTGAGATAAAAATCTCGGATATTATCAAATTCCAAATGTTAAAAAAAAATAATAATAATAATAATATGTTAGGCGTTAAAAATCTCCAAGGAGCATAAGGAGCTGTAGAATCGCGGCAATTTTAGGTGGCACAGAGGGGGATCCTTATCGACATGTGACGTTGTTTGTCACACGTCATCTAACAGCGTAGTGCAGGCAAGTATCGCATCGCTGCTACAAGGAAATCGCCTGGATATGTCAGTTATATATAACTGTGATATCAGTCGGTCACATGATCGTCCAAAGTAGAACCGTTGCTTCATACGTCACCCGAAAACTCCCCGTAGCCTGCACATTTTAAATGTCCTAAGGTTTGGTATGACAATATTTATTGCCGGATAGCTAAAGCTTTTCAAATGTAGCGAAAGAGTAATCTTGTCTCCAGAAGCAACCCGATATATTTTACAATCTCCAGAAACTGCTTCTTTTATAGCGACACAAGATGGATACCAGAATTGTAATAAAAATGGGCTGTTTTCACTTTAAAATACACACGAAAATGGAACTTAAAAGACACAAAAGTGTCTTTTTACAGGACCTTTGATACATCAAACAGTTTCTATTCATCTTTTGTGTATACCGAAATAGTCGGTGATAGGCCTATATAACGGATCAATTTTATTCAGAAAAAAAAAAACCAGCAATAAATTGAAAACTGTCCTTTACTATCTATAAATGTCAGGGAATTTTTAAATATAAAATTTATTCTATTTTTCTAAGATATAAGCTTATTTTCTAGAAGAAAACGAAATCACGATTATGAAATTGACTCACGCGACGATATGCTAATACAACGCAGCATATACACAGAAGACGGCATTTTTCTACGTACTATACATGTTTATGACATAAACTAAGCTAAATAAAATCTTTTCCGTTTATTGCCAAACCGGAATTCCGTTATATGTTAAATGCGTCGATATTATAGACCTTATACAACTTAAAATTTTAGTAAATCTTCATTTTTTTTACATTAAAACGGAAGCAAAAAATATCAACTACACAACAGGAAGGATGTTTGTGTACATCGCAACGAAGGGGAGTGGTCCTGTCACCGCATCGGATCAATCGATCATCCTCTCCTCTTCGACAAAAAAAAAAAAAAAAAAAGGAAAATGCTCGTAGCGATTTTAACTAAATAAAGACATACTTACTATTTAGGATCTAGGAATATTCTGTCCTATTCCTTATATTTGCAGATACTGTATTCGTTTTTTTGAAGTGGCTGACGAAAGGGATGTAGTACGGAGCGTCGTTTCGAAGACGTACGATAGATGGTGCTCTAATCGAATTCTCCCCGCCCACTCGACATACCGATAACGGAATGTAGAAAAGAAAATATATCGTGACTTTGCTAAAAATTCTCTTCTTCTCCACGTAATTTCTTTAAAGGGATGAGTCAAGAGTTTTAAAACCGGTTAATTAATAATGGTCTAAACACATATAAAATATCTGAAATACGTCAGCGAAATTAATAGAGCAACTCTCACGCTAACGTCATTAAAAATTTTAATAGCGAAATATTTCATTAAATTTTAAATTGAAATTTCTCTAAATAAGTTATTGCATTTATTAAGTTACAAAAATTTTAACGTCCATTTTATAATTATTCAAATTACTCGAGGAATCTAATTATCCATTCTTTAACGGTAGCGTTATATATTTAGCATTGTAAATGGACTGCTGATTGCAATATACTGGGACTTCACAATTTGTGGTATCTTAACTAATAGCAAACTTTTCCCGTGTATTTATATAAATTTAACAAAATTTCGGCTTATTTATGGTATATTCGAAAATATTCTCAAGAGCAATGAACTAACGTTTAAGTCACACCATTAGCGCGAATTATAGCGTTTCCGGGTCACACGAAAAATCGATTAACTCCGCGGCGGCTCTTCACGTACGTGCAATTTTCTTCACCAAAAGCAATCGGTTTTTCCTTTAAATTGGAAGAAGCTTAAGATAAATGATAGAATTTTGTATTCTATCAATTATCACGGTTTGATGGGCAAACTAATTTTATTTTTTTTTATTTAATTTTTCCCGACAGTCCATTATGACTCTTGTTTCCCATTCTGTTTATCCACCAATCGATCCTTCATAGTGACTAGAATTGGAATTGTCCGAGCGTAATATTGGTCGAGTTAGTATCTTTCCATCATACGTTTCAATTAATTCTAGCCTAACAAATTCTTAAAAACAGTCACGTAAATAAATTTCGTAAAGAAAATAAAGATGCAATAGCTCTTTTGCATAGTTATATCTCGTTATTACAAATTCCATACGTGTCGAGATTGCTAATAAATATTTTGAAACGGTAATTTATATATTTTTCCATCGTAAAATATTTAAAATATTGTAAACACAATTTTACGAGAATCGTATTTTTCAAATCTTCATTGGCCAATATACTGCCTTTATCTAATGGACATTTATGTGCCTGGTCTTATGTATGGGATCTATCCTACGTATTAAACTGAAAATAGCAAAACTGAAATAAATCTTTACTGAATTATCTTATATACTGTATACATATCACTAATTTATCTAGTACTTTAATTCACTACAGAGACCATTCAAGTATTATGTTATGTCAGTAGTTTATGGGGAAAGAAGATTCGTTTCTCTCTGACGATGGGGAAAGTTCGAAGGACGTAAGATTGTATCGTCGTGTTTCTTTCTTCCCAGTCATCACAAAATTATCTGAAAATAATTCCTGTGTATTTGTGAATGGTTTAACTTTTGGCCTGATTGCATAATTAGGGAAGGAAGTCCTTTGATTTCCGATGACTGGAGACGACGGAGGGAGATAAAAAAAAAAAAGCAAATTTTTGCTGATGTAATACTTGAATGGGCCCATAAAAGCTGATAAAATATCTTAATTATGTCTATACTTTTTAAAAATGTATATAGGATTTGTAACAGCCTATATTTACACTGCAGAACACCGATAAATTCTGATTTTATTAAACTTGCTCCTTTGGGAAAGATTATACTGTATTTATAAATGACTACTACAGCTATAATAATACATAGCCAGAAAATTTCCAGTATGATACACTTAGTGGAAGAGTATGTGCGAAATTATAATGTAGGTACACTCTAATTAACATTTTCTATAAATTATGAACGCCGGTTAGATAAAGCATTTCGAGTAAATAAATGTCTTGATATATTGATTTCTCTTTGATCACTTTCTATTATGCAATACCAAGCCAAATTTCTTAATACCAGACACTTCACTTTTTATTTTTCGTTAAAAATGTGCGTGTATGTGTGTATATATATATATATAGTTATGCTAAAAATAAGTATCCAGTTAACGCCCTATTCAATATTATAATGGCCACACTCACAAAAAATATAAGATCTATATATCACTTGTTTTATTCTTAGTAATTTAATCAGTTATTATATTAAAGTATGAGGGAGTTAGAAAATGAATCTCTAATGTTTCATTGACTATATACTGAACGAAATTAGTCATTGAATTCAGAAGGATATTGCTTAGAAAGTCTGGCACAAATTTTGAGTAAGATTGATAAACTGTTCACCCAATATTTCCATTGTATAATATTTTTAAACGTATTATATTCTTCAAATCAATATGATATAAATATATAAATGAAGGAAGTATCATAAACTCTAGCTTTTCTAAAATTTAAATGATCAATCATAGAACATAATTATAAATATACAGAATAAAAATAATTTAAAATACTGTAAATCCAATGAAAACTTTAAATTTATCAGAGTCTTTAATTCAAGTATACCCAGTTTTGAGTGGTAGTATTATAATTTATCAAAATACCAACATTTTTAATTTTACAGAAATCTATTTTTGACATGAATATATTCAAAAATATTTCATTTTTTAATAAAATAAAACAGAATGCAAAGAGATCCTGAGTAAGAAATAGATTCATCTATTCTGTTCCCATATGCAAGCAGTAAGCTGTCTTTCCATGAATCAAAGTTTCCTAATAAAGATTTATAAAAATATAATGCAAATAGAATTTGTTAATTAATAGCTTATAATTTTGAAGACTTGTAAAATCAGATAAACAAAGCATGAGTTTTTAATAAAGATTTTTTAAAATTCATTCCAATTAGAATAAATTCATTAGATAGAGTAAAGTGAACAGTCATATTTCAAGATATATTTCAAAATATTTTATCATCTAAACAATAAATATTACAAAACTTCAATTATTACTTAAGATAAAAGTGTTTCTAAATTTTTTTTCTGGACAAAATACTTCCATTCTAATTACTGAATTCCTCCTTTATTTGATTAAAATTCATAGAGTATGACAGTAAATAGACTTTGACTTATTAATTTATTCCAATTAGTTTTAAATAAATTTCATTTATATTTGACATAAAAATTTAATAAATATTTACAACTTTTTTCCTTCAAATTTAAAGTTTTATATTAAAACGTATTAAATACAGAAATAATTTATGTCTATTCACTTTAAATATAGTAATTTATACTTCAAAATGTACTCATTAAAAAATTCTCATTTTTAAAAAATAAAAAAATAATTTTTTAACAAAACATTTATATACCAGATGTACAAAACAAATTTTTATGTACTTCATCCTATAATCTATCAACTTATAAAAGTTAAAATATAAAAATTCTTATTTTGGCACAAAACTTGATTGCCAAAGAGTAAGTTCTTATATTCAACATATTAATATATCACAATAAAATGATTTTCTAATGCGGATGCTTGGAATCAAAGACGATGTCGTCGTCGTCGTCGTCATCATCTTTTGCTAACAACTGCTGCCAAATTTCTGGCTCTTGAGACGATAACTTCTTTTCCTCATCTATTAAAAATATTTAATATCAATTTTTTAATCACATTTATTTTATAATTAAAATTTATAATAATTTTTTCCTCATAAAATTAGTAAAGATTTTACTATATATGTTTACAGGTTTAGATTTTCTTTAAACTACAATTGGTTTAAACAAAATCTGTAATATTTCATTATTATTTTTAACTAAATGATATCACAAATATGATTAATAAATATCATAGAATCAAAACTATGTTACTAATAATGTAACAGACATAAAATGCTTGGCCATAAAAATAATATCAATTGAAATATAGCAATATATTTAAACTATATTAAAAGTCAGCAGATTTTTAAATTACACCCCATGGTTATTTACACTGAATAAAATATGAATTAGCCTCTCTTAATATTCCATTCATATACAATACACTCTTGATAACCTTGCCCTTGATAATACCTCTCAATTATCTGGCATACCCCCAGTGTAATTATCTATGTGCTTATGTTTCCATGAAAATGTTAGTCATGTCACACATCCTAATTTCCTGTTTACTCAGATTCCATTTCTGTGCACAGTACTGCTTATCAGCGTGTCATATTTTTTCTACCTGCCTTCAAAAAGAATCAGTATTGAAGGGGAACAGGCCATGTCATTCAATGCCTTTAGGGAAGCTTTAGACCTATACACTCTCAGTAATTGAGCAGGACTCTGTGCAAGAAATGGCCAGATTACAAAGTGTCTAGTGTAATTATATAAGAAATTTTCTTTTATTTTTTAATAGTTTTGTATGGCTTCAAAAATATGTGCAGATGTTTTATTATTATTAAATATATATATATATATATAAATAAACTGTAAGGTTTTTATTAAAATATTTCAGTTTCTATGTTTCTACATTTTGATTTTGATATCATTTATCAAAACGTATTTATCTCCATCTTATAATAGAACTCTTGCACAATACTTTTAACCATGGCACAGTTTTCAAAATAGAACTTTATTGTCTCCCATTTATAATTTTTTTCTCAGTATGTAAGTTTAATTAACTTGTGTTTAATAGATAGATTACAGTAATAATACAAAATAGAAAGAATGAATATTTATTATTCAACTAAATAAAAACAGGGTTGCACAATCACAATCATCTCACTAAACATATTCACATACATTTCACATTTAGTTTTGAAAACAATTAAACTCCTTTATTTACTTTAATTCAGACTAATTATTATATATGTACAGTTAATTTCACAATCAACTTTATAATATGTCGGTAAAATTACACTAATGCTAAAATAACAACATGCAATAATCTGATAATGCAAGAAACCTACAAAAATCAACTGATGAAACTTGATCCGATGATATGTAAAGAACAATTTAAAGTTAAATATAGTGGCAAATTAAAACACAAGTAACATATAATACATTTACAATAAAGAATAGAATAATATTTAAAAAATAAAATAACATTTAAGAATGTAGATCATCTTTGTAAATAGAACAAATGCACAGTATAAAATTATGGAACACAATCATAAATGGAATAAATACAAATTTGAGCAATGTTCTAGACATAAATTTAAATACAAATAAATAAACACAAAGTGTTATAAATAAAAATAAGGTAAGTATATAGAAATGCATTTTAGATACAAGAATGTGGTGTAGGAGGATAAACTAAGTTAGATGGTATTTACCACATTTTATTTGTTCTCTAACTCATTTGTTATGCAGTTACATAGAACATCCTTGCTAGAATTTCATGGAGGAGTTTATATTAGAAATAATTTTGCATGCAAACCTTCCAAAAGTCAAACAGGATCTTATACAATGAAATCAAAGACAAAAACAGTGTTAAATTTTGATATACATATACAGTATGTTAATATATTTAAAATATTTATATTGTAATTTCTCCTTATATATATATTTTTAATAATTAAGTTTTTAACCATGTAGTATTTCCTGTACATTTCAAATAAAAATTTTTGCTGATAAAACAATTCATGTTTATTTTCAAATAATAATTATTGTAAGAATTTAAAACTCATATTTTATATTTTAGAACATTAATTATCTTAAAAATAAATAATTAACATTAAATATCACACAAATATTAGACAATGTAAATATTCTAAAATAATGAATCAAAAATTTTAAGAGAAAACTCAGAAAACATTTTTTTAATTAAAAACTCTCAATATCCAGTTATTTAGCAATCATCTAACAAAAAGAAATATGATAATAATAAATATGCATTGAAAAAAATTATCTTAGCCGTGTATATAAAAATATTTACATATTCAGAATTTGCATGCTATACAGCAAATTACAGAAATGCCATTCCAGGCTTATATTTCTAGTCCTAATAAATATAGAAGTTCAAAAATGAGTATATTAATAGATCAAATTATATTAAATTAGCAAAGTAGTATGCATAGATGCATGCTACTTTAATAATTTAATTTTTGAATACACATATAAACATCTCAAAGTCTGATGCTTACTAATAAGCCAAATGATTGCAGTATTTTAATTGAACTACTTTACTGCTACTATTAATAATTAAATTTAATAAGAGATGGCACCTAATGCCTACCTCTAGTGCCATATTACTCAGAATTTAATTATTAATAGTAGCAACAAAGTGGTCCAATTAAAATATTGCAATCATTTGGCTTATTGATTTTTGAATTTTAAAGGTCAAACAGCTGTAATTTTAAAATTTTAAATGGTAAACCACAACTTGCAGCACACCATTTCATCAAACTTTTAATGTTGCATTTAATGGTATAATCAGATTTGAAATTGAACAAAGCATTCAGAAGTTATATCTAAAAAATCTTACTTACTGAGTTCTATTAAAAGTGCAAATAACAAACATTTCTTCACTGAAAATTTTCTTTTCTTTTAACATAATAAGATGCTGAATAGAAAACGTTAGGAATCATGTTTTCCACCCTTCTAATGAGACTCATTTTGTTTGGCAATGAGCATATTGGCTATAAAGCAGCTTTAATAAAGCTATATAAGCAAGCCAATGACAGTCTGTTTCACTTAAAATGGGCTGTCAATGACTTGCTTATATGGACATATTAAAGTCATTTTATCAGGTAATGTATCCAATGGCTCATATTAAAAACCATCCAGGTACTGAATTAAAAAAATCCCTGAAACATTGTTTACATTTAATTGTACATAAACAACTTTAATAAAATAAACCTTATTCGTTTTTTTCATTTTCTAATTTCATTTAATTCCCTAAATCCACTCTTTCTCTAATTTCATAATTTATTAAATAAAATTTCACTTTCTACAAAATTAATGAAAAAACAAATCAGCAAATAAGCAAATTATATTGTATTAAAATTTTTTATATATGGTTAAATCTAAACAATGTTTCAGGAATTTTTCATTCAGTACCTGAATATTTGGAGTACAAATTATTAATCAAACAAAATGAGTCTCATTAGAAAAACTCATAGTAAACATAATTTGTTATATTTTTCTGCAGTATCTTATTATTTTAAATAAAATTTTCAGTAAAAACATTTTTTTTATTTGCACTTTTATCACAATGTAGTAGATAATATTTTCCAGGTATAACTTCTAAAGAGCTTCACTGGGTTTCAATTTTTAAAAATTGTAGACTTATAAATTGCCACTGTCATCTGTCTGTCTGTACTTCCTTAATCTCAAGAAAGAAGTTAAATAGACAAAAGTCAAGACTAGATACAGACAGAAAACTTAGGGGCTAGAGGATTGATTAACTAACTATATACTTCTGGTTTGAACTGAAAATCACATTATTTCAATTCAAAAATTTTCTCCTATACAGAGTTAGATAGATGACTGGCATGATTCTAATGTTAACAGGAAAAGTATAATATATAGAGGAAAGACACTACTAAAATCAATTGCTGGAATAAATAAGAAAAGTGATATTCCCTGAAAAAATGTTTAAATTTACAGATATTTGGTGAATTCTTCCCATATCTTCAATGGTATACTACTAAACACACTGTATAATACCTCAAAATTACATTTTTATAAAATGTTTTTCTGTTGTTAAATAGATCAGGCAATAAAATTATATTAGATATATTCAGATATGTACAACTCAGAGGTTGGAAATTTAAAGAGATTAAGAGAAATTACAAATAAAGAAAGAAGTTTTTAGGAATCATGTATGATTGACATCTAAATTTAGAAAACATAAGTAGTAAAAGGTTATATACTGTTATTGTTATTGAAAATTTTGAAAAATAAACATTTTTATATTTAGAAGAGAATAACTGAAAAACAAAAAAAAAAATTATTTTATTTAGCAATTTATATTTTTTATAACTAATTGTTCTATGGTTTATTTGATAATGGAATAGAAAATTCAGAAATAAACATATATGTTTTACCATCATTAGGAGTAAAAATAATATTTATGTAATTTTTTCTTATTTGTTTAATTAATCAATTAATATTAATTGCTTAATAATTAATGTTAAGTGATTAAACAAATAGAAAAAAAATGACAACGTACTGGTACCTGAAATTTCATATTAACAGGTATTGTCCAAAAGAGTAGGAAGATGTGATCTAATACTGTGCATTGCTTTATGTCTATTGTAAAATAATAATTAAACTGTACTTTTAAATATTTTTAATATATACATGCAAAATAATACTAAAAATGTTTCATCTAAGTTAAAAAGTAAAAATTAATAAAAATTCTAACTGTAACTATTACATGATTAAAATTATATTGTAATAAATGAAAAGAATACAGTAAGTTTATTTATTTCTATTTATCAAACCTTTTGAAAGAAATCATTATATATATTTAATAGATTAAATGTTTTCAAAACTATAAACGTCAAGTCAACAATAATATCAATAAGTTAAACATTATATAAATTTGAACAAATTTTCAAAGACAGAACAAGAGATATTTTATAGTTGACAGAACATAAATAAAAACAAAAGCAAACATTAATCAATCATACTTTACTATCTCACATTCATC